AGACGGCGCCAATCAAAGAAATCATTAAATTATTAAAATGCAACCATCTCGTACCATAGTTCAAGGTTTAGAAGAGTATTAAGTTAAAAAAAGATTAATACTTTCTGAATAAATTTACGGTTGAAACAAAAACAAATTAATTACATTTGATATAAAAACACTTTTTTTAATAAAAAATAGTATATAAAAATATATATAGAAATTTACGAGTATATACATATATATATATATATATATTTGTTCAGGTGTAACACATACATGTAATTCTAAATAAACTATTAAAATTAAAATATAATTTATAATTATAGAAAATTACTTTTTTATAGTAACTACATTTTCTTTCCTTTTTTTTATGAAATGTTAAAAAATTTAATAAATAAGTCTGAAAAAAGTAATTAATTTAATTAAGTTATAAAGTTCATCTATCTTTAAGATAGATGAGATGAATGCACGTTTCAGACATATTATGGGAATGTATTATGTTGGCGGAAGAATAATAATAATGGAGTAGACCTGTAAACCTTATTGATAAAGACGAATTTGTCAATTATTTGTAGATCAATTTTAAGTGAAATAAAGTTTAAACACAACAATTGTGAATGAACGTTTATTTCTTTTACCAAGAACGAAAAATTGGTCAACTGTTTTTCGCTTGTAGTATGAAAAGACTAAGCTGTATTTCAATCACCACAATAAAAGAAACAATTCGCAACTGATTTATGTTACAAAACGTATCTTAAGTAATTTACAGAAAACGAATTTTTTTGTTACAATGATTCTTTTAAAGAAAAAATTACTTAAGTTCAACTAAGAATCATTTTACATTAGATCGGATCATCTTTTATTAGAGTTTGTCGAAACCATTTAAAATATTTGGACTCGAATTTGTACAAAATTATAAGGTTCTTTTAATAACTCCTTTATTGGTTAATTTCAAATTCAATCGTCTTTTGTATTGCTGTTGCTCCCAGTAAAAAGTTTATATGAATAAGTTAGATTCTGATGAACTCTTTTCCCTTTTAAATCAGTTTTGGATTCGATTCAGAATTTGATTCTATTGCCATTCGGTAAGTTGTAGCTTGGCTCTGTTTTTTCTTTTTTTCGTTTATTAAAGATTGCTTTATTGACAGATAGATGGTTTGTCTAAGTTGGTTAACGACTTTTAGTTATATATTACTGCACTGATGAATTATTGTGAACAGATAATTTTAAGACATTACTTTTCTATTGGTTAGGCTTCAAGAAAATTTTTTGTTTGTTTTCCAAAATAAGTTACTTTTAAAATTTTGCTTTGTCGGTATTAATCTAGTTTCTTCATCTAGTATTTTTCCTTATGTGTTCAATGCTTTCTCTGGATTCTCGGATTGACTACATAAAACAGTGCAGATCATTATATTACTGCTGAAGTATATATATAAATATATATTTATTATTTGCTCCCTATTGTTTGTAGATTGTAAATTGTTTGTAGTTTGAAGAATGATAGATAAGAAAAGAAATATATACAATACTTTTTAGCGACACTTCCTTCATTTTTTTACTGTTTCATTGTTTTTTTTTTGTTTGTTTTTAATAACAAAAAGAACCAAGGCATAAAGAGGGGTTTTAAAAATACCTCGAGTTAAGAAAGAGTAAAAGTGATCAAGTGCATTGGCTCAAACAGAAATAAATAAATGAACGTTGCATATACTACAAATACTTCCTTTGGGTAAAGGTTAATTGAATTAACGGTTCAATGTATATAAATCTCATGAATACATTTTTGGAATTTGCTTCCTCTTTATCTTATCAATCGATTAATTAATAAAAAAAACTTGAATGTATTTACAAATATGCTATAAGGTATGTTCGCTGACGCAGTGTCTGCACTGTAGGCTCAGAAATGCATTTCGGTGTGCAAGTTAACATGCATAAAAATCTTGTTCCTATATGTGTAAATTACTATTTAATAGTGTTTTCTATTGGTTCTAAATGGTTTTAAGTGGTTCTGTCACGATGCCTGCACGGTTCAATTTGTTTACTGAAGTAATTGCCATACTTTTTGTTTTCTATGCGAAAAGCGTGGGAGTTGAAGCTTTTAAGTGGCAGTCACGAATTACTTTGAACGTTTCAGAAGAATAACAGATGATTTTAGAGTTCAGTGTTAATTTTTAATATGATAAATTGCCATATTTTATTTAAAACAGTTTCAATATATACTTTGTAAATGATTTATTAAGTAATAAAAAATATAATCGATAACTTCAGAAAACGATTCAAATTATGAGAAAATATTTTATGTAAATATGTAGCAATTCTTAATGATTTTTAGTGTTAAATTAAGTAGTTATATATAAAATTTATTAAAAATTGTTTAATAATTTTTTTTTGTGCTTTATGTTTGTGTATTTTTTCTCTTTTATCCTTCATATATTCACATAAACACATTTCAAAAATATAAAAGTAATGGACTAGACTTAAAATTATCTAATAAAAACAGTATTGAATATTATTATTTGAATGAAGAATTATTTATTTGAATTATTTGATATTAATTGTGCAACAATCTATCTATAACAGCTACCAAACTGCTGCAGTACCTTACTATCGCTAATATTTGCTATCCAAAAATCAGCAGATCAAGACGAATTTAAATTAGTGGACAAAAAGGAATAAACGCAATTATCAGTCAGATTATTCAGATTATAATCAGACTGACAGTGCAACTTTCAGAAGCATATTCATATGTAAGTGAACCAGAACGAAAGAAAACTTCATTTTTAGATATTACTGTACAAAACGATTTGAAAGAAAATAAAGCAGCAGATGACTTCACTAGGAACTAACTCTAAATAGCACTTAGCAATAGCAATAACATTAGCATGCTTACAAAACATGTATATAACGATTAAACGGGCTATACTAGAAACCAAAAATAACAGTAGCAAATGTTTAATACTTGTAAGGTAAATAAAAGTTTCTATAACTAAGAGATAAGCCTAATTGACATTAACATGTCCACAAAACATGTGTTCAACGATATGATACTGAAACAAGAAAAGGAAGTATGTCTTTCATAACTTACATTCATACTTAAAAAAATATAGATGTTAGAGGCCTAAAACCGGTTAGTCAACTAAATCTATTTGTAATTTCAGTTATAGGAAACTCATCAATTTTCTACTCGTTTTCTCATAATAGGTGGAGGAAACCGATCACGCGATGGGCTTCACGGAAATCGATATTTGCGTAACACACTATTTCTGTTGGAAATTGTTGAAATTCTTTTACCAATAAATTTGAAAGAAAGAAAAAAACTTTTTACTAAAAAATTATCGAATTAGGATAACTTCAAACCAATTAAAGTGGCCCATTCTGAAATTTGATAACGCGGTGTTGGTTAGTCTGTCAGTTTTCGCAAATAATTTAAGGGCTCTATCCTTTATGTATTTTTTGATCGGATCAACCTAATGTACTATGGTACCTTGAAAAGTCTTTTCAGAGCCTGGTTTTGTGCAAATTCTAGCTGGCGATTAATAGTGTTTGAAGTTTTGCTAATCGCTACACATCCATATAGGAATGACGGACGAATTATTCATAAAAGACATTAAATACTACATTATATATAGCACATTCATTCATATTTTTAAAATAAAACAAAAATCAAATATATAAAAATTTTACAATTTTTTATTACATATTAAATATCATTGTACAGAATGTTGAAAAAGTCTGCATGCAATTCATTCATTACTTCATCTATATTTTTGAACTGCAATAAATTTTTTCTTAATTTGTAAATAGTATACAAACAATGTTTTAAAATTTATATATTGCAAAATAAATAAATTAAATATTTGTAAAACAAGAAAATAATATTATTTTACAGAAAAGATTTTAATTATTTTTTGGGATATGTTACTAAAAAAACTATAAATAAATTTTAAGTAAACACAGGAACGGAAAAAAAAATTATATAAATAAATATATGGAACTACTTAAATTTGATTATTCTAAATGTTTGCTTTTAAAAATATATAAGAGA